TCTACTGTTTTTTTTATTTATAATTATGAACTACATTAGAACCATGCATATAACAGTTCAGTGACTGATAACTGTTCAGTTCCTGTTCAGTTATCGGTTGCTCAAACAAATGCAACTGCGCATTAACCTTATCACCGAATCTCAGCGCTATTGTTCATCCACAAATTGATAAACAAAATTTATGGTGCTGTTACCATATCTTTATTTCTTTTTTTTTCAATTCTCTATTTTATATTTGCTTACATAACTGTGTTAACTTTCTGCATTCAAAAAATTGTAATAAATTTGGTATTCTGGTTAATGCACTGCAAAAAAAACGTGTAAAAGATGACAAAAATTTGCTTTTTTTTTTTTGCTCTTTCAACTGCAAATAAAAAAAGTGATGTCGCTCACAAGCCTTAAGTACCAAAGCAAAAAGATTGTATTGTTTGTCGTCAAAGTTTAACTATGTTGATATATTGATCATCATAAAATTTTTCTACAGCTTACCTGGGTAAACAAAAACAAAGGGAGAGAAAAAAAAAGAAAGCCAAAAGACAGCCCACCCGAACTGTTCAGAAAAATCGAAACAGTTTTACAGTTGTACATTTTAACAAACTTAGGTGGTTGTCGATAGTATCAGTCAAGTATCTCTGTGTTATTGTTGTATATTTTAGCGTAAGAATTAAGAAAATAATAGCAAAAGCAACAAAAACAGTAAAGAATAGGCCAAATATAACATATTTAAGTTTAAAGTAACTTATTTGTTTTATTATTCTCAAAATCTTCTTGTTGTTACTCTGTCGTCGTTGTAAACTTTAAAGCAAAAAAGAAGAAAAAAAGGAAGCAAAAATCAGTGTAAGAAGTTTGTGGTGCCGTATAAATCACTCTTCAAACAACTTCAACACCAATAATAAGGACAACGGAAACAGCGACAACAGCAATGACAGTTATCCGGCAGTATCAGTGAGGTGTTGGTTGGTAAAACAAAAGGGTTATATAAATTATTTTCTTTTTTTTTTCGTTATTTATTTTACTTATTGGAACTTTTAAAAATAGCTTTTCAGAAAAAAAAAATGAAAACTAACCAACCTTTGATTTATTTATTTATTTATTTGTTTATTTATTTATTTATTTATTTATTTTCTTGTTACCTTTAACGACGACAATAGCTGTTTTCAGTCAGTGTTCCATCGTTCGCCTCGTTGTGTGGTTCGACCAAATGGATATTCTTTTATGATACTGCACTATTTCACCCGTTTTTTTCTCGATCAGTTCTTGTTTTCTGTATTTCTTATTCAGTCAAAAAACTCTTTGAAATGTGTTAAGGTGAAAAAAAAAAACTTGAGATTGAACAAAATGGAGAAAAACGAGAGAAAGGGAGGGAAGGAGAGATGGTGACATCAGAGTGTCACCAAATCGATTCCATTCTTTTGATCGCTTAAACATTTTATCCACCACATTCACGTCGTCTGTTTTTTGCTTTCCCTTTGAGTTTGCAGGAAAAAAATTCTCTTAATCTCCACTTAATCGGCGAATTAAAAAAAAAAAAAAAAGAAAGAGAGGTTGATGAAATTGTGAATGTAAATAGAAAACTTCATATAACTTCTTGTTTTGCTCCACATTTCAGACCAAGTTTGTAATTTATAGAAGTTAGATGAAACAAGCATAAGTAGTTTTATTGCCATTGTTTTGACTGCTAAAATGAATGAAGCAATTTTTGTAAGTTTTCTTTCTTTTTTTTTTTTTTTTTTTTT